AAAAAAAAAAAAAATGTATGTGCTTCTACATGTTTGTGTTGTATCTCTCCACAGATAATGAGACCCAGCATAGTAGGGTTCGTATATCTGGCCCCTTCCCCGCTTTTTCACAGCCCCTAGAGTCATGCCTGAAGCAGTTCAATACAGTAAATACTTGTGAAGGAATGACTGAATATCGAATGAATGGGTACATGACATTATCCACTCATGTTCCAGGGAATCTATGTTCTGAGATCTCCTAGGCTCCTCCAAAAAGCTTATGCCTCCAAAAAGCTTATGTCTCTCATGACTAAAAACGAAATTGTAAATTGGGAGTACGGATGATACCTTACCAATCTGTCCCAGAGGAATATATCCACCCCTCCATCTCAAAAACTTGTTCTTCTGAAAAATGACTGACCTTTACCACACTCTAACAAATTCCAGTCATAAAATTCTACTCTACCCTAGTCAATGTTCTGAAAAGAAATAATAATCCTTTCTCTCTGCCCCTCCCATCCTTAAACTCATTACATTTTCATTCCACAAAATCCCAAGAGAGATTTCTCCAGAAGAGAAAAGTAAATGCCAATGTTTTTCTACACTTCTCTGTAATCATGAGAAACTTCTTGGCAAAGAGTAGGAAAAAAAGAGAAGTGATCTTCTCTGAACCCAAGTTGAAAGAAAATTAGATGGATTTCCACCTGAGAAATCAGAGAACTTCAAGATGTCTTTCTTCAGCAAGGATCTGTCTTACAGAATAAGGAGCTGGTGGATAGAGTATCAGCGTTGTATCATGACTGCTACTAGTCCTAGTGAACATAAGACGTTGAATCCTACTCCTTGTAAAAGAGAACTCATATAATTTATTTTTTACCCTTTTAGTTTCTAGCTTTCAAATTCTCCTTACTTTTACTAGCCAAAAATAAATCTAAATACACCAAAGATAATAGCTTTTAAAGGCATCGTATCAGTTGTTTGTCTTGTTGTGACAAAATACTCTTCACAAAAGCAATTTAAGGAAAGGAGGATTTATTATGGTTCAGAGTTCCAGGGCATAGTCCGTTTTGGTGGGGGAGTCAGAGCAGCAGGAGTGAGGCAGCTGATCATCGTATCCACGGTAAGAAAGCAGAAGGGGGTGAATGCTTGTACGCAGTTCATTTTCACCTTTTTGTTCAGTCCAAGACACCATCCATGGAGTGGTGCCACCCATGGTGAAAGTGAGTCTTCCCCCCTTAACCTAATCTGGATAATCCCTCACAGGCATACCTGGAAACTGATTCTAGATCTTGTTAAATATATAAGCAATATTAACCATCATAGGTATCAACTTTTAAGGGAATGAACCCCCTAAGAACTCAAGCACACAATTTCAGAAACACAGTATGATCAAAATAGGTCTTTCAACTATTTTACAAATGAGTTCCAATATAACCTTTACATTGCAGGAGAATGAAGCCAAGAGTTGGCAGCTGTTTAGTTGAGTTGAATTGAGTTGAGCTGTTAAGAGTTGAGTTTTAGCTTAGCTTAGCTTCGCTAAGTTTAGTTTAGTTGTTTAGTTTAGTTTAGTTTAGTTTAGGTAGATCAGTTGAGCTTAGTTTAGTTTAGTTTTAGCTTAGCTTAGTTTAGCTTGCTTAGCTTAGCTAAGTTTAGTTTAGTTTAGTTTAGCTAGATCAGGTCAGCTTAGTTTAGTTTAGTTTTAGCTTAGCTTAGTTTAGCTTGCTTAGCTTAGCTAAGTTTAATTTAGTTTAGTTTAGCTAGATCGGTTCCGCTTAGTTTAGTTTTGACAGGATCTTGCTGTGTAGTCCCGGCTGGCCTAACACATATAATGTAGCCCAGGCTAATCTTAAATTTATGGAAATCTTCCTGCCTCAGTCTCTCAAGTGCTGGAATTTTAGTTGTATACCAACATGCCCTTCGGAATAGCCCTGTTTTTGTTTTTTTTTAAAAAAAAATTACTTCTTATGTTCCTAGCCTATATTTTACCAAATTTTCTTCATCTACAGGTGAGGATTCTGAAGTCCATATTACTTTCCATAAGAATTTTTAAAGACCACGTATAATAGAAAATATAAACACACAAAAAAATTACTTCTTATGTTCCTAGCCTATATTTTACCAAATTTTCTTCATCTACAGGTGAGGATTCTGAAGTCCATATTACTTTCCATAAGAATTTTTAAAGACCACGTATAATAGAAAATATAAACACAAAAATCATTAAAATGTAGGTGATAGATGTCCAGTGTAGTTTCTATATTTGATTCAAATTGATGTCCTAGAGAAACTGAAAAATGACCACGGAGCACTGACCTCTTGAGTCATTGGTACAAAACAGAAAACTTGAATGTTGAGTCTGTATATGGCGAGAAGCCTTGTGACTTCCCCCATTCCTCCAACCCAGCTGCAGCAGACAAGAACTACTTTGTCCGTGCTTACAGTTGCTATGAGGTGAACTGAAGCAACTTTCCCAACATGAGGAAGTCGCCAGCCTGATCATCAAGAACTCATTTTCTGGAGATGTTTCCATTTGTCTGTGGAAGGGAAAGATACAAAAGGAGTGAGGAAGAGAAAATGGAATGATAAGCCAAATGAAGTCTAGAAGTTTCCTGATTCTCCATGTTTCCTGAGAAAGGCTGGAGTTGCTACACTCAAAATTATAAGAACAGACTCCTATTTTTTTCCATAGATCATTCTCCAGGGAGTATAGGAATAAAAGGATCTGTATACAAATTATAATAATAGTTACTATACAAAATGATAAACTTTAACAATACATGTACACATGTATTAATTAATACATGTTCAAAATAACATGTCAATGAAAAAATGATAACTATCCATTTTAAAGTTGTTAAGGATTTTAAAAAATCTAAACATATGAGCAAAATTCTTCATTCTGGTTGAATACCCATCCTATTTGACTGCTTAATCAACTATGTCTGCCACTGGAGGGCTTGTATTTAAGCCCTAGCTACTTCCTGTGCTATCTCTGTGACCTCTGGCAGAATGTCCAATCTCTCTGGTCCTGAATTTCCACATTTATAAAGTTGGGATGTTTCTAGTGCTTCCTTCACAGTGCTACCAGGACATCAAATGGAGCCGTAGAGCACTTCCAAAACAGCAAGGAAGTGGGACGAGAATAATACACGGACCCTTGATAAACTTTATTCAATTAAGAGCTGATCCTTTACTTGAGTATTATTCTTTTTCTGCCTTTGGGAGGGGGATTAAAATCCTCTTTCTGTTACTAAGGAGCTGGCAGAGACCCAGCTCTTTCTCTCTGCATGTTTTTTGTCAGTGGTGATTATTTGCACTTTCTTCTGTCTTGTTATTTTCCTCAGTTGGCAAAATAAACAGTTTTAATTCAATGTTATTTCTAAAAATTGTTCCTGAACTATTACTGATCTTTGATATCTAAGAAGCATAAAATCATTAGCACAGTATCTCAAAGGCAGGCAGGGGTCCCTACATGGACCTAAGCAAGGGTCATCAAAAGACTTGTCAGATGTTTGTGAAAACAAGAAGGCACCACCTTCTTGAGTAGCTGATTTGCTTGAGAGACTACAGAAACTCATTGAAGATATAAAACAGCATACCAGTTCATTGTCACCGGTTGATTCCAAAGTCAGTATGTTACCTGCTGCCTATATTTACTGTTTCCTTGTTAAGATTTCATGAGTTCAAGCAGCTCATAGTAGATGAGACCTCTAAGCCATGGAGATTTCAGCAGAAGCAGTTCACATAAATCCTCTACCTTGGTGGGCTCACCACAGAGGTTCATGAGCAAGCTCACCTTGGCCCAGCCAGTGACAGTGGTGAGCATCAGCAGCAGTGACTGACAGCAGAAGGAGATGCACCCTCCATATGAGCTCCTGCAATGGTGGGCACCAGTAGTCATAGCAACAGGGAAGCATCTTCACAGTGTTTCCGTTCAGGGGGCAGACTATTAACAAAAATTACCAAACCCGGAGGGGAAAAAGTGAGTGACACCAAGCAGCAGCTACTTAGAAGGAGAACTTAAAGAATTCACAGGAGGGGCTGGAAAGACAGCTCAGCAGTTACAAGCACTGACTCCTCTTGCAGATGATCACAGTTCGAGTCCCAGCACTCACATGGCAGCTAACAACCGTCTATAACTCCAATTCAAGAGGAATCCAGCACTCTCTTCTGACCTCCATTGGCATTGCACGACACAAGTGCACTTGAAACATGCAGGCAAAACACTCCTACATATAAAATAAAAGTAATACATGAATTTTTTTAAAAAAAGAATTCATAGGAAATCCTGAAAAATACTAGGGGACCACAAGAGAGCCAATGGCAAGCAAGGACCTAGGGAGCAGAGTGGGGCAAGGGTCATATGTGAAAGCTAACCGTTTAGTTACCCAGGTGAAGCCTGGGGTTAATCCAGTATTTCCAGCTGTGTGACCTTGGTCAAATCCTACAACTAACTGTTCAGGGCTCCAGACTCCTCACCTGGAAAACAGAGTAATGACAGATGCTAAAATCCATTACTGTTCACACAAACATGATTTACAAATCAATTTTATGAAATAAACAGGAAGATTTATTTGAATGTTTCTTAAATGCTAAAGTACAATTAGGGCTGATGAGATGGGTCAGTGGGTGAAGGCTCTTGCTTCCAAGCCCAACAATCTGTGTTTGATTCCTAGGACCCATATTGTAGAAGGAGAGAACCAACTCTTATAAGTTGTTCTCTGACCTCCACCCACATGACTACACACACACACACACACACACACACACACACACACACACACCACAGAAATATAGAATAAATAAATGTAATTTAAAATTTAATACAGTATAAGCACAGGCATGCATCATTAGTGATGGAGATATCCTAAGTATAACATCTGTGCTTTTGTTGTATAAACATCATAGACTATACTTACATAAACCTAGATGATTCAGCCTACTACACTTGGGCTATATAGCACAGCCATCACCATACATGTGGATCATTGCTGACCAAAATATCATTCTGCACTACATGACTATATTAGCTGTTATGTCTAATCTACTATGCAACTTTCAGTGCTGGCATCCCCTCAGGATTTAACCTGTAATATATCCACTTCAGATCTCACAGCTGAAAATATGGCTTCGGGGAAAAAGAATGAAGAAAGAATGAGCTAACTTGATTATAAAGTGGGAGGGAAAGAAAAGCCCACTCAGTTATACCCAGAGGACTCATAAGCCATCATTGTAGAGTGGAATGATGAAGGAAAGGAAGAGATATGCTGTGTATGTTCTGGTTTGACATGAGACTTTGTGAGGGAGAGATCATCACCCCTGATTTCCAGGTAATGCAGAGGAGATGAGGTTAAATGGAATAAGCAGGGTCACATAACAAACAAAGGACAGGGTTGGGGTTTGTAACCCAGATATTTCTAGGTCTGAAATCAGACACCTTGCCTTGTCTTTCCTTTCTTCCTCTCTTCCTTCCTCCCTTCCTCCCTTTCTCCTTCCTCCCTCCCTTCTTAGCTCTCTTCCTTCTTCCCTTCCTCCCCCACTTCCTCTCCTCCTTTCTTCCTTCCTGCTTCCTTTCCTTGCTGCTACTTTTCTAAAACAACACTATTTACAGAGTCCACAATCACAGCAACCATTTCCCATATAAGATGAGAAATGAGTCGCTAAGCATGCTGCACCAAAGGCCCCATTCCTCCCACTACAAACCTTCTGCCCACCTAAGGAGCTGGTTTTGGTACCCCATAAAACATGCTTCTAGCTATGCTTGACTTAATACTTTCTAAGCATGTTCTTTTGGGTGCTAAAACATTTTGTTTGTTTGCATGGGTGTATCCTGCAAGCTCTAAAACTAGCTTACTCAGATGGAAAATAAAATCCCTTCCCTGTGTTAAATGCAGCACACGTAGCCTATTTGGAATAGAACTTAAACTCCAGGCATAAGCTGAGTGCGAAGTGAGCAAGCAGGGAGTAAGGATGGGAACTCAGTGCAGTGAAAGCCACAGGCCTTTGGCTTCCTGCCCTTGAATGCCATCGTGCCAATAGGACAGTGCGGGGCTGCATTCCACATGAAAAGGCATTCTACCATTATTCAGTTCTGTGAAGCGGGGTGTGCAAGGGCACACACGTGGTGGCAATAGGAAAGATGCAATTCCCTACGGCTGCTTTTCAAGCAAACAAATTTGGATAATTTGGGGAACTCTTTTTTTTTTTTTTTTTTTTCTTTAACTTTCAGAAGTTCTTCCAGGACTGGACTGATTACAAGATGAAGACATGTCCTGGACTCTGGACTCTGCCCACACTGAATTGGGTGTATTTTTGCAGAGGGGTGGGGCGTGTTGTTTGTTTTTAGTTGTGTGCACCTTTGCTAGGAACAAATCTGCTTCCTCCCAATCACCCTCCCTTTTGAGAGAACAAACTCAGATTTTTGAAAGAATTTAAATCCTCCCTTCACAGGAGGAACTACTTTCAATGTTCTTCCCAAATAAAATCCCCAACCGTCTTTGTCAAGATGTCCAGCCAAATGTTGAAGACGGTCTCACTTCTGAAAACTATAATGCCCTGAATTGCTGGGATAACCTTTACCCAATGAGGTAAAACCTCATACAGTTCTCTGTTTTCAGTTCTAGGGGCTACTAGTTTTGACTGCTGTAGCCCCTGGGTTCACACTCACAAACAACAACCAAAAAGAAGAACATGGAACAACTTGTTTTTACCAAAGCCAAAAATCTCCACGGAAGAAGAAAACCTTAAAATGTGACTTAAATGAAGCCAAGCCCACACAAAAGGGGCTCTGGGAGCATGGAGGAGAGAGGACGCAAGAGCAGAGAAGAAGCCAAGGTCTGAGTGACCATGTGATCTCAGTCATACCACCAGTCACTAACTCATTGGGCCACATCTATAAAATAGGATGAAAGGTACCTCCATTCTGGGGCTAATGCATAAATGAGTATGCATTGTGAATGTTCCTGGCTTGGATCCAGGCACTAAGTAATGCTCAATAATTCCGACATTCATTCGTTCTTTCTTTTTCTGTCTATGGGGTTGATGTAAAGATCCAATGAGATCATTGGGGATGGATTGGAATACCATTTATATGTGAGGGTGTTGTAAAAAGGGAAACAAGATAATATAAGGAAGAAAGGTGAAGAGCAAAGGCTGAGATCTCAAATGCACCCCCGTTTTCATTGTATCATTATTCATAACAGCCAAGACAGAAACAACCCAGATGCTCACGGATGGATGAATTTTAAAATGTGACATATAGATCCATGAAATATTGTTCTACCTCAGAAAGGATGGAAATCCTGCCATTTGAGAACTGTGGATGAATCTGGAGGGCATTATGCACTGTGGAATATGTTAGAGACAGAAGAACAAATACTATTTCATACAGATTATATGATGAACTAGAATAGTCCAATGCACAAAAGCAGGGATGCAACTAATGGTAGCTGAAAGCTAAGAAGAGGGGCAAACCAGAAAGTATTAGTCAACATGCAGAAAATATGAATTATACAAGAGGAACAAATCCTGGAGATCTACTTCACAGCATATTTCTTACAGGTAACAATGCTATATTATGCACTAAAAACTTCGATAAGATAATAGATTCTGTGTTAATTGATTTTGCTGAAAAATAATAATAATAATAACAATGGCAGGAGGAAATCTTTTGAGATGATGAATAGGTTTGTGGCATAGATTGTGATGATGGCTTTAGCATATGTCTTTATCACCAAACTCATCAAATTACATACATTGTATATGTACAACTTTTTGCATTTCAAGCATAACTCAATAATGTGAGAGAGAAAACCAGATAGAGATAGACATCAACTCCCTATATTATCTTTCAAATTTCCTGTAAGTCTAAAATTTTGCCAAAATTGGAAGTATATTGTAAAACTTTGAGAAACGCTTATTGTAAAAGATCCAAAAAAGGTCCACCCCAGAGAGCCTGCCAAGCATCAGATCTGAGTATTGCTTCCAGATCTTTGTGACAGATCCAAATGACTAGAAGAAGCCTTAACAAGAGGAAGAAGCCAAACAATACACATCCAGACCCTATGAATTCTCCAACAGGAAGCTGGGAGGAGATGGAGGGAATGCCAAATTTCTAAGCTGTGATGCTCATCCATTCAGTGATATTTATTTCTCTAACACATGCCACACATTGTTCTAGATGTTGTGAATAAAACCGTATACAAATGATAAAGTTTCTGCCCAAGTTGAACCAATAATTTACTGGAGAGACATGGAATACCTAAATAAGCATCATAAATACCATGACACATGATGGAGAAAATTAAAATAGAAAAGGACTGGAGTATCCTTGTGCTGAACAAACATTGGGTTCTATTTTTTTCAATAGGGTGATCAGAGACACTCCTATGAAGAAGTTATAGCTCTGAAAGGGATTGAGTCCAAAGATTAGCCAAGCAAGTGCCAAGATGAGCCTTTAAATATACTAACACATGCCAAGTGTGGTGGTGCCTGCCTTTAATTCCAGCCCTCAGGGGGCAGAGACAGGTGGATCTCTGTGAGATTAAGGCCAGCCTGGCATAGTGAGTTCCACACAGGCTGGGACTAGTGAGACTGTGTCAAAAAACAAAATAAAAAAAAAAACAAAAAGATGCTAAGGAAAGGGACTGCCCATTAAATTCAAGTCATGGGAGGCACCAAACAAACGTGAGACGGAGTAATCAAAGGAGAGACAGAAAAGGTAAAGCCCAACCCAGATGGTGTTTGGGGGCATAGCAAGGAGTTTAGCTTTCACTTGGCTAAGAGCAGGAAGCCATGGAAGGCATGCAGAGGAATATGTGGTCATCTGATTTTGACAGATTATAAATTAGGAGGAGAACAAAGGCAGAGGCAGGAAGATAAGCTGGGGAAAGGGGAGATGGCGTTTTCCGTAGTGTTGCCATTGGGTAGTTTCCTATCCTTCAGTAAATAACACACACGCTCATGCAAGCAACCCTAATCAAACTCAATGGAATGCGTGTGCATGCACACACACACACACACACACACACACACACACACACGAAACTAGTTTAGAAGAAGGGCTTCCACAGATGTAGGAGGGGGGGTGAGAAAGTACAAGAGGCTGAAGATGATCAAAATGTATTATGTACATGAAATTAGATTTTAAAACAACAATAAAGTCATGCAAATTTATCATTTTAAATGCCAAATAAAAAATTTCTCCAGCAGCCAGGCATGGTGGTGCACGCCTTCAATCTTAGCACTTGGATGGCAGAGGCAGGCAGATCTATGGGAGTTCAGGGCCAGCCTGATATACATAGCAAGTCCCAGGCTAGCTGGACTTATAGGGAGACCCTGTCTCAAAAAGAGAAATTCTCTATTGAACTAGAGCCATTCAGGTTATCCACTGGAAGTAGAGCACGCATGCCAAAGCAGGGTCTCTCCAAGCTTAAAATTTTAGAATTTTTATCTCCAATGAAAGACTCTGTGTTGGAATT